TGGAAGTATTCAAAGCCAGACCTGTCCTGCAACTCCGTGAGGGTCGTAGTCCGATGAATATCAAAGATCGACTCCGAGGCGAAGAGGATATTGGCTTCGGGAGAAAGGTCTGGATACGCACGTGTCAGCCCAAAATCTGGGTGCGGAAAAAAATAGGATCGAGCGACAGCACGAGGTTGAGCGCGGTAGTGGCATACTGTGAATGGTCATGAAAGTTTGCTCCATGACGATGATGGCGACAATGGGTCGAGCCGATGAGTGCGAAGAATTTCCCAGTTCGACAATGTGGAAAATGATCGGGCAGAGAAGGGTCGAGCACTTGCGACTTGACTTGGCGCAGAGGTACGGGATCCAGACACGACTCGTGATGGTACGGATCGATTGTTTCTAATGCGAGATGACGAGGAGACTTGTGGGTCGGGGGACCTCAAAGCACTGCAGGACCACTCGAATTCTCGTCGCTAAACGCGAAGCTTGAAGACAGAGCGTCTCACGAGGCGTGACAGACTGGCAAAGCGGCGACGCCCAGCGAAAAGGGCGGGCTGCTGATCGTCTCAGCTGAATGCTGTGTCGCTGGGAAGAGAGAGGAGGGCCCAGCAACAAGCGGGGGAGAAGGAAAACGGAGTTGAGGCGATGACAATCGCAGATGCGGTGGCAGCAGTTTGGGGATTGTGATTGTGTGGCGCGCGATCGGAGGCAGTGTGCCTGATACCGAATGGCACGTCAAGGCGAATACGGAGGGGTATCTGATCGATGATGTCGGCAGGGTGCTTCACTACTGATCTTCTGATCTGCCGCCGGTTGGCTACCAATGTCTACGAACCGTGGTCTCGAATCAAGCCGGCCGAGACAGTGATGATGTTGGGCGTGAAGGCGAAGGGAACGAATAAGTGATGGGTGAAGAGGAAACACACATGCGATCGATGTGCCAACTTGAGCTAGCCTGGCCACAGTCGCCAGGGAAGATGCTGTATGATATATGCGTCGGGCTGCAGGACAAGGCCGTCTGTGGTTGTCGTGACTGTGCTACGTGCGGGTGGCTTCCACCTCGCCAGGATCAGGTACCGACGACCGAATGACGAGGGGGGAGAAGAGAGCCGACTGTCCAAGCTGAGGGGAGCCAAGGCACAAGGGTCTGGGTCAAGCTGAGCAGAGGCACTGGGCTGGGTTGTAAGACGGTGTACAATGTTGTGGCTCGAGTCTAGACTGGGTCTGGTGCGGAAGTGGGCGAGCTTGAGATGTGACAGCAACAAGGCCAGGTATCGTCGAGGTAATTACCGGACCTGGATAAGAGCAGCTGGGCCGTCACAGGCAGTCACAGGCAGTCATGGGGAGAGACGAGAAGAGGGGAACTGTGAGGTCAGTGCTGTACAGTGCCTACCTAGGCTTGCTAGGTAGGGGCCTTCCTAAGGAATGATGGCCGCAAGGATTCAGGGTCCTTCTGGCGGCGCGAGTGGACGGGGAAGTGCAGGCGCGAGAGCTCGGTGCAGGTGCAGCCCGTTGAGCCTGGTGCTGCCGTTGTCGTTTGTCAACCTGCCGTTGACCCTTGGCGCACGGCTAGAGGAGGGGAGAAGGGGGGGGGGGGCAGGAAGCCTAGCAGGTGGCGAACCTTGCCCTAGCACACGCCGTTTCTTGTCATTTTCGGGGCTGATAGACTTTGGGTACGTCAACAACTTGGAAGGGATGCCTGTCGTTGTCGTCAGGCACAGTCCCAGCACTGTCAATCGCAGCATTTGGTAGAGGGTCACTGCCAGAGCAGCTCTGTGGCGAGGCCTCATCCACTTCCTTCACGAGAAAATGCCACCGGCGACAACGTCGAACTCGTCATACAACACCCGATGATTGTCGGGGACGGACTGACCTCACCCTCAAATCGGCTGCTCGCTAAGCAACAAAACCCCCTTTCTTGACTGGGTGGCGGATTGTTCGAGTCGGTGATTTATTGAAGCCACAGTGTGCGCCGGTTCCTGTATCGCTCTCAATCGGGAAATCCCATGGTCCTCTGTGTGAGACAGCTCGAGGCCCCCAGCTCGCGGCCAATGCACCCTGCGGACAATTCTCCTACCCCCCGGTCTCGCCTCGAGGACAGTACCGCATCGCTCCCGTTGTCAAGCTGGCACCCCCCACAAGCCGCAGTCAGGACGTACATGTAGCCCGTCAGCCCAGTCATGACTCTTGGAGGAGCCGGATTCGCGCAAAAGACGTTCCAAGTACCATGCGCCCCCGTATCCTGTCAGTTGCTTTTTCAGGAAAAGTTTGCGAGATGCCGGAGGTAAATCCAATTTGGTCCGCCTCTCCCGACGTGACAGCGGCTGGGGCATCCCAAAGCTCGATGAGCCGCAACCCTGACGTGCATGGGCATCGGTCGGCCGAGGAAATAGTAATCACCAACTCGATTGATGCGATGTTGGTCGCTCGCTTTTAAACTGTAAATCGTGGTGTAACGGCCTACGACAGGCTGACATAACTTTCTTGTCGTCCCCCCCTTGATGAATCGCAGGGTCCATCCACGCCTTGTTGTCCGCGCGAGCTCGAGTGTCGGGGTTTCGTCTGGCCCGTCGTCGCAACGTTGCCGAGAACCCTCTGCCGAGCGCGCAAACAACCTGGCTTATTCATCGGAAGAGGATCATGTTCCAGTATTCTGCCGCACAAGTGCGTCTCCGGCGTTAAGCAGAGACCAGCGTCAACCCGCCAAGCTTGTTGACGCTTCGTCTATTCCACACAAGTCTGAAGTACCGTACAGGTGGGGGGGTTCACGTCATCCCATGCATCCACACGCGACAACGGGCAATCCATCGCCCAGCGGGGAAAAGGTATCAGGAACCACGAACCACGAGGCGAGTTGCGTGCCTGCTGTCCCTACATGGATGAGACCGAGCCGTGGGTATCACTGGAATGCTTGCATCTCGATCCAACGCGTATCGCGCCCAAGTCCGCCTCCCTCGTAACTCAGAACTAAACCTCCATACATGCGTATACAGTATCGTAAAAGAGTCAGTCAGCGATATGTCATGTACTGGCTTTCCAGCACGAGGCTACTCCGGGCAACCACCTCGTCTACCATATCGAGGACCAGTGTGACATGGTTGAGTCCAGTTAGAATACGTGGAGGCTCGCGAGATGAGCTGAGGTCGGTTTCGGGCGACATCCTGAAAATAGCTTTCAGATCACCGAAACAGCGAACATCGGGAAGGATTCCGGTTCTAGTGATCAACAACGAATCTGAAGGGTGAGTCGACTACCTACTGATCTCCAGTCGCCTCACCTGCCCCTACCAGCATCAACACGGCGGCTCAAGCTTGCAACGTTCAATCATGTCGATCCCCAGTAGGTGACATCTCTTGATACTCATGTGGCCAGGGGGCGTGACGGAACTGATGAATGCGATTATTGTGCCACACGACTCGGTCTCCGATCGCGAGCTGTGCCTGCTCAGTAGCGAGACTTCGGGATAGGACGACATGCCCAAACGCTTGGCGAATGTTCCACGGCAGACAGAGGTGTTTGAAAACTCCAAAACCGCGTATTTGTCTGATCAGAGTGCATGAGACTACTACATCCGTGCAGAACGAGGGGACACTCAGCCCACAGGTATCTTACCCACAATTGCCCATGATCTATGATCTCTAGCATGTGACATCTTGAACTAAGACGAATGTGTCTTCATAATCTATTGAAGCGGTAAAGCTACGGCATGAAATGCTCGAGATGGAGATGACGAGGCGCCTGCGTACCCCTGCTTTTTCTTCGCCCCAATTGGCCATTCGCCTCTCTCTGTGAAGATTGTGCAGCGAAGATGGAGATCTGGTCTTGAGAAGCGACTTTCATAACTGGTGAGCTTTCTCCCTGTTTCGTCTGGCGAGGATGATGCTTGGTGGCCAAGGGCGATCATCTGCGCCTCGTCTTGGAAGTTGAAGCTTCTTGTGCGCCTCGCGGTTCGAATTCCGGTGGATGTTCTGCGTGGTCCATGGCATTTTCCTCGTCGACTTTGCCTTCAAATGATAGCCTTAAAAAAGATCCATTCTTCGTAGATGGAAAGGCATTCTGAGGGCACCTAGCCCCAAGCTTGGCCCAAGCACAGCCAGGATGGGGTCCTTGGATTGGGTGATGACTATTGCGCCAGGACTGCGAGTTTTCATTACCGCAACAGCACGGAGGCACATCGACCCAACTCCGGTCAAACATATTTGGATCCGACTATGTAATGCCAAGGCTAGATGACTTGTGATTTCCTGATCTCCTCCATACGAGATTGTGCGCGCCGAGGCTGGTACCCAAAGCAAACTTTTGAAAATGGTCCTGTCCCAACGCCCCAAAGGCTGTTCCATGAGCCTCAATGCTTTTCTTGCCCCCTCCCGATTCGTAACCGTACAACGTACACGCTGTATCCTCATGGCTGCGTTGGACAAACTGTCCGCTCTTGTCCCTTTTCTTTTCACTCCTCGTCTTTGTGATTTTGTGCGAGCATAAACGATCTTTTGGCTTAACGCAGGCGCCTGGCCTCGCGCTCGGACTCGAGGAGGCAGAGGATGTCGTCCTCACGAACTAGATGGGCATGTTAGCATAGCTGGGGCTGGCGGCGATAGACAGGGTGGAGGCTTGAGGGGCTGCGTACCGGGACCTTTGACGTTGCGAATGATGGAACGGGTTTGGTCGTCCATGAACTCGACGCGAACCTGTGTGACACCACCACGAGAGCCTGGCGCACGTGGGTTAGCCTGGGGCTTTTATTTGTCCTCTTTGTCGCAGTTTTGTCGTGAGGTTGATCGAGTTCTCTGGCGCCTGCGCAAGGGTACATACCGGTGCGGCCAAGGACACGAGTGACCTTGACGAGCTTGACGGGAACCTTAGAGGAGTCCATTGTGTACTTTGAGAGGTTGTGCTGGTAGACGTAGAGGACGGTATCGCGGGCCGAATGGATCAACGCTCAAAGATCGAGCTGCTGCATCGTGTGTTGAGGTTGCCCCTTGAATGTAAGGTATGCGACCGGCTTTGGTTGCTTACATAACACGCAACTTCAGCCAGGCACAGCCTGGAGACCTACAGCGGCTCGATCCCACACCTGTGCAAGCAGGTCGGAGAGATGGAAAGGGTATCCTTACATGCTCTCCCTACCTCATACTTCACTCGTCTTGAGCCAAAATGGGTCTTTAGAATTGCATGTCCCGCGGGTGATTTGGAAGACCTGCCCACAGTGCGCATTGTGTGTTTGGTCGGGCACTACAAGGCAAGACTGGACCCAAACTTGGCACAAAGCTTGCATATTCCACCCCAAGCAACTGGTGGTTTTGTTTCGTACCATCGATATCGTTTTGCAACAAGCGAGACTGGGATGTCAGGGGACGTGTCGTCAGAGTGTTCGTGGCCTTCACAGGCAAGATGGTGTGTCCTGGAAAGGTACTATCGATTGTGCCAGCATGACTTGATTGAGAGCGGAAAATATGCTTCGGCAAGCACTTACCCTGAGCTTGTTTGTGTTTCGGAACTTGCTAATATTTCCTCTTCTCAAAGCCCTCGGCTGCGAGCGTGTTCGAGTTTGAGAAAAGACGGCACATTGTCTTGACAAGGAGAGAGATACTGAATTCACCACAGAATTCGGATCGGTTCAGTGTGGCATCTGTGATGAGCATTCGACCACGTTTTGCCTCCATCTCGATTGTCGCCCCCTCATGCTCTCTAAAATAACTTCTGTCATTCTCAGCCGCGAGTAATTATGCCTTCAGGCCAGCCCAGGTCGAGAGTAGTCGTCGCTCTTACTATCTTCAGAACGCCCTTATTGCAAATTTAGTTTGACATAGCGTCAAATCTTCCGCCTGAACTTTGGCACATGATTACTGGCTATATGACCCGCTGTCGCGCTGCTGTCACGACGCAAGAGCTCGAGCGTGTTTATCCGAAGGTCATCGACCGCGAGCTCAACCTACGACGACCCGTCCATGCATCGTACCTCAAGGTTGATGATAACATTCATGTTCGTGATCTGCTCCATGCAGCACCGACTATCAATTCTGACACACAGACAAGCCTTTACATGCCATCGACCAAATTGTCAAATCCACTCCATGCTGATATAAATTTAGCTCGAGATCATCTGGGCATACGCCAAATTGGTTGTCTTGCATCAACAGATCGCAAGGTCTGGTGTGGCAACCAAAACTTAGTTCCGGGAGTTTGGCGGCGAAGGCTTTCTGATATGAATACTTTCGCGACCATTAATATTCAGGGTGATGTGAGTCATATGTTGTCAGGGCTTCATCCTGCTGTTTACATTTACTCAGTTGACTGGTACGCAGAAACATACAGGGCCTCGATGCGGGACATGTCGAAGGCCCATCGGAGCAAGCACTGCGTGACCCCCTCGCGCAACTGCTCTGGCAAGCTCCTTTGGCGTTTTCGCCTGGACTGATGTCTATTGTGACTCTCGAGACTCAAACCCCTTGGCCAAGTCGCCGTCGCACAGAGCTTTTTTTCCCTTTTTTTTCCCTTAAAAATGCACCCGCCCTGATGCTGCTGGCTACCTGGTGACATGCACAGGCTTTGAGATTCAAGATACCGCTGTGCACAAGTGAGATGAGGAACCGCATATGAATCTCTGCGAGGATATGCCCTATCGACATCTGCACTGGATGTAACATGCCACTAGACGTGGGAGAACAATTTACGCATATCTCGCGACAGCTCGACCACTATGGCGGATGGCTCTCCACACGAATGGGCATCGCGAATGCGTTGGACCGTTTCGACCAGATTGGGCAGCTGACTGGATTCCCTTAAGTAAAAAAAAATACAGTTTTCCTTCGCTGCGCCCGGGTTTCTCGCGGAATGTCCACCATCACCGCGGTCGCATCGCAAGCACCATGCGAAACCGACAGCATTGGTTTGCTGTCTGGCATTCTAGAGTGGTGGTTCGCCGGTGGTCACCCGGCCTTGTACCAAATGGTAAGGATACTGAGGTGCATGAAGTACCAAGCCAGTAGCGATGTAAGTGTGGAGGATGAACTACGGTCAGACATCATGCACAGGGGGTGAAGTTATTGACTTCGCGGACGAAGGAGTGGCGACGACTGCTGTTTGAAAGAGCCCATGGCTCTGCTTCAGTGCTCTAATGGAGTGCTTTACCACCGCGCCATTACGGAAATTACTATACATCTGAAAGAAGACATTGTTTTGCAAGGTAGAGAATGCAGGCCACGATGTAGACCCGGGAGGCCAGCCCATGACGAACGGGTTGAGGTTCAAGGCGTTGTCTGGAATGAAGTCGCGAAGGCACGTGATGTGGTTTGCTGGTAGGTGCGTCGGCGCACGATTAACCCCTCAGGCTTTGTACATCTCCCAGCTACAGTGGACTTAGGTCGTCGCTGCGCCTGCAAGCTACAGCACGGTGCACTGACCAGCGATATTGACCTTTCAGTCGCCTCTCAACACCAGGACGCCGGGACTGGCATCTGGGGGCTCCACGAGAACCATTAGGCATCCAAGGCGAACGATCTCGCAGCCTCAGCGACGTCGTAACAAACATCACGTCTTATCGCTCGAGCGTGCATGTCTTTCGTTCTGAACTCGTCATGGCAATAAGTCGAAACGATGCCTGCCTCTACCCCAGAAACCCACCCCTACGACCTTCCAAAATTACGCGTCTCATTCACACCAGAAGTATGCAGGGGCGAGGAATAGACCAATAATGCACAACTTCTAACAATACGGATTAGGATGACACGCGATTCCTCTCACAAGAGGACAACGTACCAGGTTGTTCATGGTCCTCCCTGTTCATCTTGTTGTGCTGACCAAAGACAGAATACTTTGCTGTCCAGTTTTGCCCGTACCAGCCAGTCGACGCAGATCCAGTATTCGCCGCTGTCAGCAAGAAGCACGTGAGTGCAACCTGGAGCCTTCTTTTTTTCTTCTTTTTTTTTTCGCGATGGAACCGGGTGGTGTCGTGTGCTGAACAGTGAGTAGGTTCTTCTGTGCCGGTTGACGGCCAACGACGACACCCAACCATATACCATCATCAAGGTCATTCGCGATGACGATGTGCGTGCCCGTGAATCCATGGGCCCTCCCTCCACTGACTCGACAGGCTGATTCTCGAAATTACACCTGCACTTGGTCGCAGGACAAGGAGACAGGCAAGCCATACCTGTGCCTCAGTGGTGAGGATGCCAAAATCAAGATTTACGATGTCACTGAAGGCACGCTCGTCAACGTGAGTTGCTTCCCTTGAAAGCATTCGACGATGCAAAGCTTACCCCAAACAGGTTCTAGTCGGCCATGGAGGCGTGAGTACCCTTTAGGCCATGGAGTCAAGACAGGATCTCACTGTCACAGGATATCAACGACATGGTCACTTCGCCGATCAACCCTCTCGTCATTGCAACCGCTTCAGATGACACGACCATCCGCATCTGGAGTTTAGACCCCGACCATAAGGATATGCCATGCCGCTGTATCCTGGGTGGCGAGGGTCACCAATGGAGTTTGCTGACTCTGGTACGAGCGCCGAAGTCTTGTTTGTATGTAGGCCAACCCACTGACAAGCACGGTGCTAGGCGTTCCACGACAGCGGACGTTACATGCTCTCCGCGGGGCATGATCAGATTGTGAATCTAGTAAGTTTGCAATGGCTACCGTTAGGCCTTTACAGCTTCTTTGAACTGTGTGCTGACAACCTATCAGTGGACGCTGCCAGATCTTCCTGCGGGAACCATCCAGCAACCTTTAGAAGTCCACTATCCTCACTTCTCCACGAATGAAGTCCATAGCGGTGTCGTCGACTGGTATGTCGACCCCAGCACGGAAGAAATCAAAGCTGACCTTGCAGCGTCGCCTTCTTCGGCGACTGGATCCTCTCTCGTGCCTGCCATGACGATATCATTGCACTCTGGCGTATCGAAGGCTTCTCTTCCAACGACCCACCGCCACCTCCTGAGTCGGCCCCTACTACCATAAACCCTGAGATGCTGACGCGGTCCGCCTTCACCAAAGACTCGCCTGACCAGCACGCCTCCCATTCCCAGTACACCCGCCTCCTCACCTTCTTCACGCCCGGATCTGGTAACATGTTCTTCATGCGCTTCAAGCTCCACCATATGCCCGGCCACCACCCAGTGCTCGCGTTCTGCAATGCTAACAGCAAGATATTCTTCTGGGACCTGGCCCGCATTACGAGCTACCACGACTGGACTCGAGGACTCATACGCGCCAACGGCGACCGAGCCCTCATGCCCGAACGCCCGGCCTGGCTGACACCCATTGTGCATCGCGCCAGACCGGAGGGTAAACAGAAGCCTGAGCTTACGGTTCGCGAGCGTAAGGCTGCCGACGCGCCACCCAAAGGTATCGAGCTCATCCCCGGCATGGCCGAGTTGTACAGCAAGGAGACGCTGCAGTCGTGGGACGGAAAGTACAATGCCGCGACCCGCACACACCGCTGCAGGCCCATCGTGTCGAGTCGATCGGCGTCAAGGGGTTTGTTGGACGGTACGCGGCATGGAGTCCCAGTGGCGAGTGGTGTGTGGTCGTTGGTAGCATCAACCTCGGCCTCATCCTGCAGCGGTGGGCGCCGGCGTGAGGCTTGCCGTAGCAAGAGGTTTAGAGAGTGTTCATCCCGGAGTCTCGAATACTTATTTCTCTTCATTGTGTGCAACGTCCTTTCGTGATATCCGCCTCCGATGGCGCTGGGATGGTGATCTTGCAGGCTGCGAAATCTACCCACCAACCCTGTGATCCCGAATCGGTAGCGATGCAAAGGTGGGTCTGGTAGGGCCCTCGCTACCTTCGCGGTCCATGTCGAGGGCTCCGTGCATCGCGTGGTCGAGCTTTCCGCCTAGCTGCTCCATTGTGCGGAAGAACTTCATGGCTATCTCGCCTTCAGCCAATTTTTTTGGTTTCTGCTTCTTGCCGGTCTTCCGGACGAGGGCAGTCCGCCGGCACAAGCAGGTCGGCGATGTACAGCGAGACGATCCCGCGCAGCCGCTGCAGCTCGGGGCTTCGGCGAGAACGGGCAGAACTGTCCAGTAACTTGTCCATGCGCGAGGGGGAGATCGCGGCATTTCCGTCAAGGGTCTTGGCACGGATCTCGTCTCCGCGCTGACGCATTCCGCTTTTCCGGGCGTCAACAACGCATCGAGCCCTGCGAGGCCTGCCTCTGGAACTGTCGTCCGGGTGGAATGGGTCTCTGTCTTCCGAGTCGAATTCATCGTCAGCCCCCTCATTGTACATGTCCATATCCGGATCCGTCTCCCATCTCTCCGCGTCGGCACCTAGGTCGTCCAGTGCAGCGGTGTGTTGGGCGTGCATCTGGCTGATCTCGTAGCTGACCTGCGCCGGCCAGAACTGCAGGGCCGAAGCTGCCTTTCTCGCGCCGAGATGGTGGGGGTAATTCCGAATGAGGCCCTGAAAGTATTCCTTGACCTGTGGCACATTGGAGATCGGATAACGGTGCTGCTGCTTCTTGCGGCGCCGCTCTTGGGACATGTCACTGTCGTCCGTCGGCGCCCAAGCCGCGTTCTCCTCCGACACGGGCTCACGCATGAGTATCTCAGCACCCAGCTCCCAGTAATGATTGCGCCGAATATCGACCGGTTTTCCAGAGACACGAGAGCGCATGAGAAGGCCAAAGGCGCGCTTGGCGGCGAGGATGTCGCCACGGGCGAGGAAGACGGCGATGGAGCGAGCCAAGGGCTGAAGAGCGGCCCGCTCCGCTGCATACGACTGGGGTTTGGGGAGAGACGATTCGTGCCCTGATTCGGCTTCTGTCTCGAAATCGGTCTCGGCGCAGGAGTCCTCTGCGTCTGTGTCTGTATCGGCAACAGGGGCGGTGGAGGGGGCTTTCCACCGGCGAGGCTTTTGTCGTCTCCTGGTGTCGCGATACGGACGATGAGTGAAATCCAGGCTGCAGAAGTGATGGTAGTCGATCATTCTCGGTGAGACCGGCGGCCAGTAGTTGCTTCAGATTGCCGGGAGTGTGACTGAGGGGGTTGATGATAGCGTCTGGGAGGCGGGTGACGACAGGAGGGCTGCTGTTGGGGGATGAGGGCAAGCTGGCGGCTCTCTTGCGTTTCCTAGGGGCGCTTGAAGATTCCATGGTGATCGGATGTGAGATTTCAGGAGTGCAGGTCAAAAATGCGTTTGACGTACTCGCCTTGCTGACACTGGTAAGGACATGGGCTAGGTAGGCAGATCCCTAAGAGAAGTTGGTAGTTGACGAATTGATGGCGTGACTGGGATTACTGCTGCCGTGGGTGTGGAGCTGGCGGCCTAGACAACGCAATAAACAACGGCTGACATCTCAAAATCATTTCATTTGACCAGAGAAAACATAGCTTCCCGGGCTGGCGTACAGTTGCCGACGTGAACAGCAGTGTTGATGAGTTGAAGATTCAGGCGATGATTTTGAGAGGGTGGATATATCAGGAGGCCAGGGGTGTGTCTTTAGCAACATCTCGAGTGCCAGTGTGGTGTGTCGGAAAAAGCCACAGTTTAGCCGCCACTCGTGGTGTGGGGCATTCCCAACGACATGGATGAACACACCATGTATGTTGGACCTTGTGCATCCTTTGCTTCTGTCTTATCATCCATCCATTACAAATTACAAATATCGGGAGCTCGCTCTTTGTGGCTTCATAAATCGCTTGTTTTATCGACATCAGAGTATCCCTTAGGTGGCCCCACGCGGTCGTTCTCATCCACCGTCGCGATGGGCGACACTAGAAATGACAAGGCGTTCAAGTATCGCCAGGAGATCAGTCAGGTAGGCACCCCACGCACCCTGTTCGTCAATTCTGTCCCACCGCAAATGCGCCTGTACTATGTTCCCTGGAGGCATTGGGAGTGAGCCTTCGAATGCGCGTCGTGCCGTTAGTGGGTTGATCAGGAGATCACTCAGCCCAGTGTGTCTGGCCACTTGCTTCGACTCTGTCCTTGTGTCCTCCCCGGTATCACTAGGTGATCCATGACAAGCCAGGATCAAGAGGCGGTATAGTGAGAAATGCCAACGTTGATACGTGGTCCAATCACTGCTGCGGCAACGAAACGGTTTGTTGTGAAATGGACTGCCAAATAGAGGATGCTTGTCACGAGAAGGCCCTTCACAAGTCACGTCGAAAGTCGAGCAACAGTATTGAGGTCGGATATTTGTCGCTGCCTAAACCATTCATCGACGCCTATTCGAAGCACTCGCCGCTGCTGGCTTCACACTCGGGGGGCCTACCATTCAAAATGGCCATGCCGAACAGGGATACGCATGCCGTCAGCTCGACAACGCTGACAACACCAACAACTACCACTTTTCGGTGGCTTGTCACCAGGCCAAGCGGATATCTTGGTCATCGGCCGTCAAAATTCTCACGTCCCTAGCCGGCGACAGCCCCTTGTCAGCCCGCACTGACCTGGACGCTGATTCATTTCAACGACGTTTTCTTTAAACACCTCTAGAACCAACTCTTCGCTCCACAAACTAGTGTTCAGAAACGGTTGAAGGGTTGTGCTCTCCTTGAAGGACCGTGGAATTTTCTTGCAGAAGTCCGACAAACATCATGAGTGGCATATCCAACCAAGGCCTGATCGACTTACCCGCAGACGCGACGCCTATGCCTGGCCCGAACCACCCCACTCCGCGGCCTGGATCCTCAAGAGGAAAGCGTAAAGGCCGCCCTCGTGGTGCCAGGACTCTGGCCCTGGCACGTAGTCAGGTGCAGCATGAAGCAGGCGAACTGTTCCAGACAGCATTTGACGATACGGTCGACGCTTGCTTCCACTCTGGCTTCGAGTCAATCGACAACGTCGCGGTGTCGACAGACGGCCCCTCCACCTAGAGACTTGGCCACAGAGCCTCAGGAGCTTACACTGGTCTATCATGGCATGCAAATCCACTTGAACGACATTTCCTTTCTCGTCTGACGACTCGTTATTGTTTGATGGAGAAACGGCTGAGGACTTCCGAGTGCGGCTTACTGACGTATTCCGACAGATGATGTACGTCTCTGGCGAGACTGCTGAACCTTCTGTCGAGACAACAAATATTATAGAGGGCATCGTGCGTGAGCAAGTTGTCGAGCTAGTACGTCATCATTCACACGCAGCAGGTTCAAGGGTCAGTCTTAACCGTCCCAGCTCAAACAATGCACCGACCAGGCGGCCCGTCGTGGATCTCGGTCCATCAATATCAACGACTTGATTTTCCAGATCCGCCACGACACCGCAAAAGTCTCTCGTCTCCGCACCTTCCTCTCGTGGAAAGATGTTCGCAAAAACGTCAAGGACTCCGACGACAAGGGTGGAGACGCCGACCTCGGCGCCGGCGAAGATCCCGTCGGCGGCGTTGCAGCCGGCGGCCCGGTGGATGATGCCGCAAAGAAGAACAAGAAGGCCAAGGTCGGACTTCCCTGGGAGCCGTCATCGTTCTACCCTGTCGACGTACCCGAGCGTGACGACGAGGAAGACGAGGAAGAGGAAGAGATGAACTTTATCACTCTGCAGCGCCTGCGGAAGGCTGATGAACGCACGAAAGCCATGACAAAGGAAGAGTACGTTACATGGTCCGAGTATCGACAGGCGTCGTTCACATACCGCAAGGGCAAGCGGTTTCGCGAGTGGGCCGGCTTCGGCATCGTGACGGATAGCAAGCCTGTCGGACGATATTGTTGACATTCCCGCTTTTCTGCGTTTTGGGTTGGGGCAGCCCCTCAGGAAGGGGAGCGCTCAAGGCCAAGGGGCAGGAGGTTCTCGTCAAAGGGGCAGAGCGGTGGCGGCGGCGGAGTCGGCCGCCGAGGCCGCATGGAAGAACCAAGGCGCAGCAAGGTCTCTTTGATCCCCCCAGCGAAGGAAAGACGCCCATTGAGCCGCGACACGTCCAGGAGGCGTTCCGACGGCTTCAGCAGCGGCCCAAGAAGATCAGGGCCATGCTCAACGGCTCAAGGCTGCCGATACACACCACTCTCAACATTGTGAGTTTGCCAATCTGCTCAACCTTGGTGACCCACGTTGACTGACCATTTGCAGATCTGAAGACAGTGGCGGACCGGTTTGGTTCGGGCGTTTGGGCTTGGTTCAGTCTGGTTTGTACAGAGGGGAGATACCCACGGCCTTTGTATAGGGATTAGCGTTATTCGTTCAACGTTGGCTGATGAAGGTGGTGGTTGCTCGATAAGAGCTCAGCTAGGCTTGTGCGACTTTGGATGGAGAAAGCAACTTGTACCATTCTATTTATGTTTGATTTGGATAGGCTCCAAGGACCGAGTCGCGATGCAACGGTTTCACTTGAACAAGTTCATCTCTAGACTCATCGAGTTTGGGCATCTAACTAATCCGGTTTCTGTTTTGGGCCAAGCCACAGGTAAGGCTACTGCTCTCCTCAGGTCTCTCTGCCCACAGTCGAGCCATCCGTTGCTCCACTTGGCGCTGCCAAAAGTGGCAGCCCGAGACTCTCCTGCTAGATCAGCTATCTATAGACGGCTCTGTTCAAGGTGGTCAAGGCAGCACGTGTAATTTCGTCGTTCTGAAGACCCCAGCCGCGGGCACTGTGGGTTTTGCTGGTTCTGTGCACAAGTCCATGCCGCTGCCAGCTCGGCTTCCGTAGCTGACTCAAGGCCGTTGGCCTCGAGGCTTGGCGCGGCGATCGGCATCCGTGCCGTGCTGTACGTTTCCGCCGCATGCGTGACAGGTATCGCGGGTTCAGACGGAACTTGACATGGACCCAATCAGACGCCTTTGTGTAGTTTGATCAACTCATGGCATGATGTCGAGAGTCCATCACTCACGACGGCGTCGCCATGCGCGTCTTGAGCATCCCCAGCTCCGAACTCTTGGCCCACGCCCCCTGCGGCGTCTGCCGGTAGAAGACCAACTTGCCGTCGTCGCCTGTGCTGCCGAGGATCTGGGCCGTCGTCGTCAAAGTCGACGCGCCACACGGGCGTCCGGTGACTGTCGAGTTTGGCGACCTCGCGCACGACGTGCGCCACCTGACCCGGCTGGCCCGACGACTGCCGCTCGGC